GAAAAGGCAATGGACACAAAGGAAAGAAGAAAGGAGAGTCATAATAAAGGAATTTTGTTGTGGGAGCAGGAAGAATCACACGCCAGGGCTGCCATGTCTAGCCAAAAACATGTGGAAACTATTCCTGGTCAGCTCGCTCTTGGCACCTGAACAATAACTGTGGATGTCGGGTCACTATCAGGCCCTCCTGCCACCGGCTTCCGAACAGGAAGAAGAGGAAGCATCTGAATCGGGTTCCAAAGGGTGACAGCAGTGTATTCGTCCTCCCGTGTCTGGTTATCTCTCAAGGAAAATAAATCCGGTGCCACCTGGATCACCACCAGGACAGGTGATGATCCACAGATGGATGCATGCCGCTTTCTGTTCGCGGGAGCTCTTGTGGGAAAGGAGAGATGCGAGAGCACGATTCTATCGCTTACAAACAGGAGCAGAGAAAGCACGCTGACATACTTTTTACCGCAGATTTAGGATGCGTCAGAGCACACTGAAGTCTGCCGGAAAAGCAGTCTGTGAGACAGAAATTAAACCACAGCGTTGGGACATCTTTCAGCTCTGCTCAGTGCAAGCAATCGGTCACATTCCTGAACAGATCCCATCAATAAAGCAAAAATGGAAATGCAAGGGGTAGGCCAATGTCTCTCAGTGGTCAAGGCAGGGATCCGCATTGAAAACATATGTGTCTTGATTTGGAGAACCAGATCTCCTCCAAGCCACTCAAGTAGCTGAGACCTCCGGGGATTTCAGGATACAGAGAGAATATTTGTTGGACTCAGGGAACTGTAATTATGATAATAATTATAAATTATTATTGGATGTATATTAGGTGACTGTGACTGGGTTAAGTTTGTCAAGTGAATCCCATAATTCTCACAAAACCCAATGGGATACACCCCAGAGGTCCACAGTTATGGACCAAAACCCTTGGGGAAAGAATGAATTTTGGAATCCCAAATGTTTTGGATTCTAGAAAGACAATATGGTACATAGACCATATATTTTGTAACCCCATTAGAAGTGTATTAAACCATATAAACATTTACACTAGAATAGGATAAAAGAAGACAAAAACAGGTAATGTTTTGGCACCAAATAAAATTGCAGTAAATCTTAAAAAATATTTTCCTAGATATTTTGGATTTTAAATTTGTGTATGAAGATTTTGAACCCAGTTTTTCCTAAAATTTATATCTAACATTAGTGTGGTACATTTGTCACAATTAATGAGCTAATGTTAATATAAAATTATCAACTAAAGGTCACACTTTATTTAGATTTTCTTAGTTTTAACTAATATCTTTTTCCTTTTCCAGGATATCCCATCACATTTAGTTGCCATGTCTCCTTAGGCTCCTGTGGGATCTAATAGCTCCTCATACTTCCCTTGTCTTCGATGACCTTGAATTTTGAGAAGTGCCAATCAGGCAGCTTGTAGAATGACCTTCAATTGGAATTAGTCTAATGTATTTCTCAGGGTAGGACTGGGGTAGTGAGCTTAGGGGAGGAACACAGAGGTGCAGTATTGTCATTATCACATCATGTATTGGGTACATACTATCAACATGACCTATCACTGTTGATATTAACCTTGACCATGTGGCTGCAGTAGTGTTTGTCATGTTTCGATATTGTATAGATATGCTTCCCACTTTTTCCCCTCTCAACACTCACTATACCAAATCCACATTTCAGGAATGGAGAATTATATCCCACTTTACCAAGGGTGGAGTATCTGTGTAAATTATTTGGAATCCTTCTGCCCAAAAGATTTGCCGAGTCTCCTTTATTTATTATTCTTTTAATCACATATGGATTTGTGGAAGTTTATTTTATACTCTGGGTTATAATCTAACATTATTTTGTTTATTTTGTTTAAATAATTTCAACTTCGGTCTTTGGGAGTTCTATCAATGAACTCATCTTATCCCCTGCCCAAACCCTAGAATCAGTCATTTCTTAATGAGCTATGATCCTTTTACTGAAGAATATTAGGAACCAAGATCTAGGTGTTCGATGTGCTCGTTGCTACCAGAGGATTTCCAGGGCCCTTGTTTAATATTTACCTCCAGGAAGAAAGAAGAGGTATCTAATTTTTAAGCCAGTGTTCCCCAGAATTTCTAAGATGAGAAATATCAAACCTATGCGGGAGCTGATGACACATACCTAGAATTCTGCACATTATCCGCATGTAATACTGGCATAGTCTCTTCCTCATATCTTATTTTCCTTTGCAAAATAAATATTAATGCAATAATTTCTGCTTTCTCAGAGAGAGACAGAATGATAGATCTAGTAAGAAGCCACTATTAAGGAAGAAGAAGCCTCTAGTGACGGGACTAAAACAGCACAAAATAAGTTCTCACAGGAGACCTGAACCACTCAAAACTTCCTTTGTGTGATACAAAACAGTGTGCTTTGATGGTGGGACACGGGAAGAAGCTAGAAGAGGCTTGGGGAGAGCATGCTATTTTCTTCCCTGCCGAACAGTTCCAGTGACTTAGCATGTGACAAGCTCTCAGTTATTATCCAAATGAAAATGCCTTTCTAAAGCATGGCATGTCTGCAAGTTGTAGAAATGACAGCCAGTCCGAGAAAAAGCTTTTAGCACATTCTCAGCGGTAGCTGCACATGAAATGCGTGGCCTCTCTCTGTTCTGCTGAGAGGTTATTAATGGAGACCTGCGGTGTGATTATGTTATTTTTGAGGGTGAAGGAGAATTTAGCGTGTCTTTAGCCTTATTTTGCTTCAGTGTTGCTTATATCCTTATTCTACAAAGGAACCAAATTTAAAATTCACAGAAATGCATGATGCATAAAATCACGATGTCATAGAGGATCAAAACCAATTTTGATGTTTTGGAGAGTAGAAAATAACATTTAGGCAAAAGTAGATTTAACATACGGTATCTGAATTATGATATGGGCAAGGTAGCTGGTTTGATTTGTGAGAAACAAATGTTCTCAAGATCTGGCCTGTCACAGAACACGCCACACCACTGAAACACTAGGACTTGAACTTAAGTCACCAAATGCCAACTTGCGTACTCTCAAGTAAGAGAAAGCCACTAGACAGATTCTCAGAGCCGCCACCCAGAAGCCAGCTGACTCAACACGATTGAGACAATTGGTGGTGTTATTACCAGGTCAAGCCCTTCTTACCTACATAAAACAAGGAATTCTAGAACACCCAAATGGGAATGCATGACACACACCAGTCCTTCCAAGTTTAAAGTGCAAGATCAGTGGCACTGCATAGAACAGCCGTGGGCAAACTACGGCCCGAGGGCCAGATCCGGCCCGTTTGAAATGAATAAAACTAAAAAAAAAAAAGACCGTACCCTTTTATGTAAAGATGTTTACTTTGAATTTATATTAGTTCACACAAACACTCCATCCATGCTTTTGTTCTGGCCCTCCGGTCCAGTTTAAGAACCCACTGTGGCCCTCGAGTCAAAAAGTTTGCCCACCCCTGGCATAGAATATAGGATCTGCTTATTAACCTGCTTTGCTGGAAGTCTGCAGAAACAAGGACATTTTGCTCTGAAGTGACAAAAGTGCTGATTTCAGGATAGGGCTGTCTCATAGGTACTTTCCAAGTCATTTTTCAGAGCCCTGGATAAGTGCCCCCCATGCTGGAGATGTGACTCAAATAGGGAACAAGGCTGGTGGCTGTTGCTACCTGCAGGCTCTTTCCTTGTCCTGACTGCTACGCATCTGAGAGGAAAGAGATTAGAATACCATCAAAATTAATGGGATGCTATTTTCTTGTCAGCAGATACAATTTCATGGAGGTTTCATAAACAACTGCAAACCCATCTGCCCTAGTGACGGGTTATTGCAGGTCGCTGAGTCTGTACGGCTTGTCATTCAGGACGAGGCCCGTTTCCTGGTCATTTCTGTGTGCCTGCTGCCTTTCATGGTGGCTCATCTGGAGAATCACCCCACTTCATAATTCTTAAACCAACCAGGCCTGGTAAAAGCAGACACTGAGATTTGGACTGTCATGAGAACAGCATTACTTATTTGTTTTGTCTTGATTCCCCACATCACAAACAACAACTCGACATATTGTGACAGAGAACCGGAATAAATCAAGCAATGCTCAGAGAGTTTGGAGTCACTCTTTATTCACCGCGGTGGGCTCAGAGAAAATGAATTCAAATCCTAAGCAAAGCTACAAGCAGAACTTCCCTTTTCATTAAAGAGCCAGCCCGATGTGTGCTTAGTGGTTCTCTTGCTGGTGGCCTTGGAAACTACACAGTTCTATCCAATTAAAAAATGCACCTGGCATGGCATTGAGAGTATGGGCGTATCTAGTCTCTGGCCTACAAGGTCAGACAGCTAAGTTTATCTTCCTCATTATTCAAGCAGGCTAGAAAGCCAAGTTATTTTTTTTTTTTAAAAATTAGAGGCCATCTAAAAAAATAGCAGAGAATTCCAAACAGTAGTTTTACAAAATAGGGGTTAGCCTTCTCAATATCAGTGGGTTTCCTGTGGCAGGCACTATTCTACGTGCTTTGCATCCTAATTTATTGAACCATCACAGCAAACCTACACGGATCTACTATCACCTTTACACAAATGAGTAAACTGAGGCACAGGGGCAGGAAGTAACTTGCCCAAGATGCTGTGGCTGAGCCCTGATCTGAAGTCGCGCAGCTGCATGTCTGGAACTGGGCTGTCAATCACCCCCACATCCCTCACCCGCCTACCCCCCAGCTACTCAAGGTGCAGATGAGCTTGCAGGAAGATGCAAAACTGCCCCCCCCCCCGCCAAAATTTTTGGCATTTCATACCTAAGTAGCTTATATCTCTTGATTACTACAGCTGTTTATCAAGATCCACTTTGCTGATAATCAACTGAGATTTCCATCTGTTTTTATATGTTTAAAATAAATCCCTTCTTAAAACATTCAACTTTGAGAATTTCAAATGCCTCTAGTAATGTGAGCTAGATTTCACCTTCTAAGGATACTATTTGTAAGCAAAGTTGCTGTCCATCCACCTGGAAATCCTAGAATTTGAAGGACATAAGTGAGTAAAATATTCAGACATAATTAAGTCATTCTGCGTCTTTACTGTATGCGTCTAAAATACAATTAAGTACTTTTTGCTGCGATGGAGAGAACAATGCCTGCTTCCATCATAAGCCCGGCCTCGCCCAGCATTCAGGCAGGTCAGCAGGCTCCGGGGTGTGCTCCCTCCTCTCGTTGTGAATTTCTACAGGAATGAGTGCAATTCCCTTGAAGGCCTTCGCAGCACTGAAACCTCGCTTCTGCTGACAGCCTTGGTGGTGCAGCTCTGTCTTTGGCTGTGGTCGCTGTTCTCTGCGCAGCGGCAGGTCTCTGCCGCCTCCTGCCCCCTGGCCCAGCCCTGCCCAGCGGGATAGAGGCTGCGCCAATGGTTAAAGGTCCCAAGGCCTCAGCAGACCTGCTTTCTACCATGACATGCCTCCCCTGTCACAGTCCTCGAATCCTCTCGCTTCACCTGCGTCAGGTCCTCCTTTGTCCAAAAGCTGTTTGTTTGCTGATTCCTTGATTCCTTAGGTCAACAAAGCGTTCCAGGCGCTGCGGGTGGCAGGCGCGGCCCAGACACCGCGGAGCCTCCCCCAAATTAGCCAAGTGTCGTCCAGCTGGAAATCGCGCCGGTCTGGTTGGGATTAAATATGAAGAATGTCGGCAAGGCCTTCGGCGCCTGGGGCATGGCTGCCTTAGGAACTGACCCAGGCGTGCCCTTCCCTCCTGGCCTGAGAGGGGAGCGAGCTCCTTTTCAGCCCTGAGGACCCATGGTCTCTGCGAACCAAAGAGGAACAACTACTGAGCACAGGGAATGGGAGCGTGCGGACAGGCACAGGCGGGGGATTGATTTTGCTTAACGCTGGATGGAAAGCTTCGCGGAGGCGGGTTTGATCGTTTATATTTGACCAGAATGGAAGGAAGCGGATGTCACAAGTAGACAACAAAAGAAAGGGCGCCCTGGGCTCTGGAGGAGGTGCGTGGCCGTCCAGGGGGAAATCAGAGGCGCGTGCCCTGCCCGGGGGCTCTCGTGAAGCTTAGGGTACACCTGCAAACACCTTTCTCCCCTCTTCCATGGGGTGGGGAGCTGGGTCCGCAGCTTCTAGAATGGCCCCCATCAATGCAAGCCGGTTTCCTTCCTCCTCCATAATTCTCGGGGTCCTTCTCTCTCTCAGCACACACACACACACACACACACACACACACACACACACACACATCTGACCTGGAAGCTGAGCATTCCCTGTGTTTCCTGCTGGCTCCTGCTGAAGGTCCCACAGTGAAATGAACAGCCCTGTTTTCTGTCTTCAGGGCGCAAGGGATGTCACAGGAAAAGAAGCAGCACGCTGCTTGGTGTCTCGAGCTGTAATCCAGGACAAAGTCGCTCTTCACGTATCACCTGCCACAATAAGAAAAGCAAAAACAAAACACGCTCCCATGTTTATTCACACAGGCCTTCCCTGGAGCCTCCACTTCCTGCCCGGGCCCTGCCTCCTCTCCCTCCTCTTCCCTCCCTCACTTCCCACACATTCCACCTCTCCTTCTTCGACTTTTCCCCTGTATTGTTTCTAGTCTCCTCCCTGACAGAGGATTGCTGTGGCGGGTTGAGCGCTGTGTTCACTGCCTTAGCCGCTTCACCTGGCTTCCCAGGTGGCCCATGCAGTCAGATCCAGGAGGAATCTGCTCTTCCTCCAACCAGCGCCATCAGAGCTCCGCAGGCGAGGCAACGCGATCTGCATGCACCGTGCGCAACTGTCACCGTTAAGAAAGAATAAAAGATATAAAATATGGAAATATCAGTGTGAGCACACAAACACTTGCTAATAAAATTATTTTTGTATAGCATATGCATCCCACATTCATAAATATTGAAACAGGAAGTTTTCGGGGTGGAAAAGACAGGTTTAGGAAATTTTAGAATTAAGAGGACCATGGAAGAAGCACAGGGCCGCAGAGCAGCAGAAGGTGTATTTCCATAGAATAGGGGAGCTGAAAAGCTGCAACAGGTATATTTCCATAGAATGCGGGAGCTGGGAACAGCAAAAGGTCTATATTTACAAAATAAAGGGAAGGAAGCCCTTCATCCAGAAGGAGAAGAAGAAAGCCCAAAGGGAATAGGAAAACAATAAAGAAGGAGGGGGCGGGGGGAGATCACATGTCCCATGTGAGGTTGGACCTTTGAGCTCAGAAGTTACTATAGTAACCAGTCCAAGGGAATAGTGACCAATCACAGGGGATATCAAGGCACAAAGATCTGTAGCCTTTATAAACCACAGGGAAAAGGAAGTCAGTGGGGTTCTTCCCCCTTCCCCACGTGGGTGGGAGTCTGTGCCGTGAGAATCTTTCCCTTTCCCCACGTGGGAGTTTGTACTTGTTCTTCAATAAATTTCCACCTTTGCTAGACCACCTCCTGTCCGTGGATTCATTCTTTGACTCCAGTGGACAAAGAATCCGGGACATCCTGCCCAGGGGAACACAGCATGTTCCAGTCCAAAAATTGTGCTTCAATATGATGATGATGCATATTTTCAGGAAGGGAAGCATGTGACATGCCAGTATTACCAGTTCTAATATTAAAATGTAGGACATATATAGTTTTTAAAAGTTTCTGAAATAAAATCTGATTCAAACTAGTCCCTATCATCGAGTCTTGATTTTGGCTTCTGCCAGTAATAACATTATGCCCCACCAACTCCCTAGCCCCACTGTACTGACACGGTTTAAAGAACAGGCTGTGTGTGTCCTTTTGGTCTCTCTGGCTTTATAATGCTGATCTCTACGCCTGGCAGGCTTCCCATGTCAGCCTTCCCTCCCAACACCATTTCCTCTTCCATCCCCTGAACACATACCAACATCTGCACGTGCATACAGTGTGCATGCATAGCACTAACAAGTGCTTTACTCTGTTTATTGGATAAATGAATGCATTAATGAGTAAAAATGTATTGTGGATACATTACTAAGTTGCTATGTGATGGAGGAGAAGTAAAACTAATAAACTCTGATTGACCATCCCAAATCTGTGGGCTAACTTGTCCCCTTGTAAGAATGGTAGCTGCATGGTCTGTTCTGTCCCCCTGCCCCCCCAAAAAAATATGATTTCCCAAATGCTGTCTGATGACCTGGCATTAACAGACTATAGCTTTCTTTGTTCTAGAAGCTTCTTTATTCAATGAAAAATTATCCATTACAAATGCTCAGAGAAGTTAGGTGGGACTGAAAATAGGTGATGGAATTTAGCCATTGGGAGATTATTGTTGGTTTTTTTAGAACAATTTTTATTGTTGTGAAGATAGTTACATTGTAAAAGGTTGAAAATAAAAGGTCATTCTAAGAGTGATTGATGATTTCTGGTTGTAGAAGGTAGTTTACAGACCAAAGACAGTGGCCGTCTGTTAATGCCAGGTGATCAGACAATTGTTCACCCTCACTCCCTCTTTCTAGAAACTCTGTCCTGATATCTGTATCCCACTCTCTCCCCTGTCTAGTAACCCTGTGACATTCCTGCTCTTTCATTTCTTGGATTGTCCTTTGTAAACTGACTGTGTGTTAGGGATCCCAGACTAGGATCATCTAATCTTGGGCCAAATAATCTTCCTTGGAGATACACTCCCATTGCCTTCCTTACATACAAATTATAATTATGTTTTTAGTTCTCACCTGTTTTCCAGCCTCTAAATCAAAATTTCTAATAGTCTCCTGGGAAAATAAACTTTAATATTGTGCTACTCCAAATTAGCATCTAGAACGAAATTTGTAACACGCCTGCCTCCACATGCAGAATGCCCGCATACATCTCCATCAGAGAGGAAGTGTGTCTAGTTTCAAAAGCATGGACTGTGGCCGCACACCTGTTAAAATGTCACTCTCTTCACTACTGGTTCTGTGACTCTGGACAGCTGCCTAGCCTGTCTGTTTCACTTTCTCACATGTAAAGTGGGGATTATAATAGCACTCTCTTCTTAAGATTGTTATAAAAATACTAGTGGCCCAGTGCACAAAATTCGTGCACGGGGGAGGGTGTGTTCCTCAGCCTGGCCTGCACCCTCTCCAATTTGGGACCCCTCGAAAAATGTCCTGCCAGTTTACAGGGATCGGGCCTAAACCAGCAGTCGGACATCCCTCTCGTAATCTGGGACTGCTGGCTCCTAACCGCTCACCTGCCTGCCTGCCTGCCTGATTGCCTCTAACCACTCTGCCTGCCGGCCTGCTTGCCCCCAAATGCCCCCCACCAGCCTGATCACCCCCAACTGCCCCCCCTGCTGGCCTGCTTGCCCCTACCTTCCCTCCCCACTGGCCTGCTCATCCCCAACTGTCCCCCTGCTGGCCTGCTTACTCCAAACTGCTGCCCCCGTTGTCCTGATCACCTCCAACTGACCCCCACTGATGGCCTGCTTGC